CGCCTCCCGCGCTCGGGCCCCAGCGTCGCCGGCCCCGCCTGTGCCGGGGTCGCCGCAGTCCCCGCGGCTCGCCTGGGACTTCCAGGCTAGGCGTCCTAGCTTTATTGCAACCCGGGAGCTTCCCAAGGTGTGAGTGTGGGTGCTGGTCCACCAAAGGCTGAAGCAGGGGACCTCGGGACATCCCGGTTCTGCGCTCCAGGGAGGCGGCCCCGCAGGGCTGGGCAAGGACGGGGCGGCCGGCGGAGGGGCGGGCGGCGCTCATCAGTCACGCCAGTCACGTCTGGGGCTACCCGGCCGCCCACTGGTGTCTTGCCGGCTGGTCGTGCCACCCCGCCGGACCGGCGAGGGCAAAGGGGCTGTGGCGACGCCATGCCCGGGCTGGAGTGAGTGAGCGCGGGCGAAGATGGCGTATATCCAGGTAGGACTGTGGCTGGGGGCGACCGCCAGGGGATATCGGGGACCGCGCCCCCTCCGCCGGGAGCACGCAACGCGGGAGTGCGCACCACCCAGCTCCCACAAACTTACTAGAAAAAAAAAAAAAACACCCAAACCACAAAAAACAACAAAACAACGGGTGCCCCAGAGCAGGCACCTGTGCGTGTCCTGGAGCAGGGCAGGGTACCTCAGATCCGGTATGGAGGGCCCCGCGTGGGACCTGCATCCTCCTGTTTGCCTCCCTGGGAGGGGAGACTGTAGGGTGACTTTGCACGCCGCCCCCCCCCCCACCGTCCCCCTGGCACCCACCCCAGGGGAGGGGCCGCGGTAGGGCGGCCCGGGGAGCGCCAGCCACCCGGCCCGCCAGTGCCCGTTGCCGTGGTGACGGCTCGGGCTAATTGGCCGGTGGAGCCAGCTGGAGGCAGCTGTTCAGACCTGGAGGGACAAGGACATCGTTCGCCCGGGCACTGGGTGCAGAGGGGTGGGAACATCCAGAGGCCAGAGCACCCTGGTGAAGGCTATGAGGATGGTTACTTTAAGTCTGTTGAGGTCTGAGAAGTGCAGGAGCCCCCACCCCATCCCTCTCACAGAGTGCCCCCAAGATTCCCAGACGGAGAGGATATCCAAGTGCTCCCCCCTCCGCCCCCCCCCGCCCGCTTTGGAGGGGACGGGTGGGGATGGACCTTGCTGCTTTGAGAAGAAACCCGTTTCTTTTACAAACTGAGAAGTGATGGCAGGTCATCGCCAAGGTCACGCAGTGGGACCCGCAAACAGATCGGAGGAGCTGCGAGGGTTCTAGGGCTGCCTGCTCTTAACCCGGAGAGGAAGGGAGCAGAGTCAGAGACTCAGCCTGGCGTATGTGTGTGTGTGGGGGGGGAGGACAGACTACAGACCCCCTAGAGCTCCACGATCCCATGTCCCCTGTTCCTCAGATGGTCTGCCACCTGGTGGAACCTGACCCTCTCCTCCTCTAGCTTTGATCCCCAGGAACGTCTTGCTTTTTCATAGATTGCCTAGGTCCTGATTTCAAGTTCAATGAAGGTCACTGTTACTACTGTACATCCACCGTGTCTTGGAAGTTATCGGAATACTGTTCACCAGTTGCTCAAGGACACCGGGATGACACCAATTATGGAACAGCACTTAGGACCTAGGTCACAGTCCCTGCCCCTCTGATGCCCAAGGGAGGGAGCAGAGAACGGTGAAATAAGTTTTTATGGTTCTTCATCCAGTTCATACATTTTTTTTTTTTCTGAGACAGGCTCTTCCTATATAGCCCAGGCTAGCCCTGTGATTCTCCTGCCTCTGTCTTCTGAGTGCTGGGATCACAGTGGTAAGTCACTACTCAGCTACCTAAACCGTATTTCAGCACAGAAAAGTTGTCATTTGCCAAGGTCATGGAGCTCCTTAGCAGTGACAGCAGGTTCTGAACTGTAGGCTGGGAGAGGGACGGGTAAGTCCTGCAGCTCAGAGGTCTTGGCTTCCCTCCTAGAAACAGCCTTGGAACTTCTATGGATCACAGAAAGTAATGCTCTTTTTCCTCCGTCACAACTTTTCAATTGGGGAAACAGCACTAAAGCAAGCACAGGGGGAGGTCAGAGAGTGGGCGTGGCCATGCACCCACGAAGCTTTATTTGTTGTGGACAGTGAGTTTTAGGGACTTTCTGAAAGTCGGGAAATAGTCATCTGGATGTTTTGCAGCCATTTAAAAATACACAAATCTGCCGGGCTGGGGTTGCACATGCCTTTAATCCCAGCACTGTGGAGGCAGAGAGGTACGCAGGATCTCTGGGAGTTCTAAGCCAGACTGATGTACACAGCAAGTTGTGGGATACACAGAGAAACCCTGTCTCAATAAAATAAAATAAAATAAATAAAATAAACAAAATAGGAATCCTTCTTTGCTGGAGAACTGGGTAGTGGTCTACTACTGGGTTGTGAGCTGGAGTCTGCGCACCTCTGTGTAGGATGCCTGGGGATTTCTCTTTATGCTTCCTGGCTTGAATCAGTTCTCCACGGGTACCTGGAGAGTGAAACCGAAGGATGGGGTGAGGCAGAATGAGACCCCGGCCTTGGGGCCTCCTTCCCATTCCCCTGTCCCTGCCTTGGGTTGCTCCTGCAGCACCATCTTCTACCTGGGCTTTGAGAAAGGTGTTCATCGTCAGGCAGTGTTTCTGCTTGCCATGGGTCTCTTCTGACCGCCCATGCCTGAGAACATACGTGTAAATTGCTGGGATGCCACAGGCGCTTGGAAGCATGACTTCACACTAAACTCTTCACTTTGTGGTGACTGGGGACCCGGAGGACTGGGGAGGACTGCACATTTCGGGACGTGTGTGACAGCTGCGGGGGGTTGGTTCTCTCTTTCCACCATGGGGTCCTGGGGATTCGACCCAGGTCATTGGGTTTGGTGGCAAGCACCTCTACCCACTGAGCCGTCTCACCAGCCCTCAGTTGTTTGACTTTTTTCTTTCTAGACAAGGTCTTGCTGCGCAGTCCAGACGGGCCTCGAATTCACAGCCTCCCTTGCTCAGCGTCCTGGGGCCAGGATGATGGGCACACAGCACTATGCTCGGCTTATAGCAAACATCTTCAAGCCGGTTCTCGTGCGAGCCCAAGGAGGGCGTAGTTTTTATGGCTGAAAGTTGCCAGGGTGGTTCTTGGTGTCTTGTCTCAGATGCCACGGAGAAGGTGCATTTATTTATTTGGCTGGGAGCCACACAGCGTTTCTATATTAAGAAATCATCAAAAGGTGATCCAGGTGCAGAGCCCACCTCCCTCCCAGCTTACTCGGTCATATGACCTGTGACCTTCAGCACCTGTGCCTGGCTGAGTTTGGGTTCTGGAGGACCCATGATGAGCACTTTAAGTGCTTTCCCACAAGACGACCCGTGGCACTTCAAGGACCCTGAGTTGTACTTAATAGTACCAATCCCTAGGCTATTATAAATGGACATTTTTTTTTCTAGAACTGGACTCTTTTGGCTTGAGTTCAGATCCTCAGCACCCATGTGAAAACTGAGTGTGGTGGCGTGTTACCTTCGTGCTGGGGAGGAAGCAGACAGGAGAGTCCCCGTGGCTCACAGCCTGGAGTTGATGAGCTCCAAATTCATGGTCAAAACCCTGTGTCAAAATAAGGAAGACAGCTGACATTGACCTCTGTCCTCCACATACACACATGCACATGCATGTGCATAAGCACTCACAGGAACATGTACACACACCACACATATACACATGTGTATGTATGTATATACATATGCATATATGTACATATACACACATATATATGTATATACATATACACATGTGTATATATGCATAAACAGTGAAAATAACTAGCTCTCTTTTTTATTTTAACTTACAAAAAAAATCAAGTCAGGCATGATAGTACATACCTATAATTCCAGAACTTGGGAGGGTGAGGTAGGAAGATGAAGCGTTCCAGGTCTGGAGCACAGAGTTATACCCTCTCTCAGGACAGCCAGCAAGCCACCAAGCACGCCAAAGGTCTGTAAAGGAAACAATCACCTGTGGACAAAGATCATATGATGGAAACAGAAGGCGGTTGGAAAAATAAACACAGGGGGACCGCTTCAGCATTAAATCTGAGCCGGACTGGGCTAGCCTCAGCCTGCTAGCCTCTTGCTTTGTTTACAAGGAAGAGCAAGAGTAGAAAGATGTTAGCGTCTGGAAACAAACCCAGACTGTCTCCTCCCCATTGGCTCCCTGTGCACTCCAGCGCCCTGACTTTGGCCAGTCTAGGAACTGCCCTAATCTGGTCTGCAGGATTTGGTACCTGCCTGGTGGATTATTTTGATCATGTGTTTGATTTAGCTTTGAATTAATCTGAGGACCTGAATGTGATCCTTGGAACCAGGTGGAGGACAGAGAGGATGGACTCCTGAGAGCTGTCCTCTGACCGCCGCGTAGTGTGGTGGATGGTTGTGACCACACACAGAGACACAAATGCACACACGCACTAAAGAAATGTAATAACTGAAAAAACAAGGAAATCCTGACTGCGCGGAGAAGCCCTTCTCTGGAAGAAGAGGAGGGAGTCTGGGGCTTGGGGACTGTGAGAAGAAGATGAGATTGGGGTGGAACCACATCAGGGAGGGAGGGCCAGCTCCTGGCTTCCTTCCAGCCCCTCCCCCACTTGTGGGTGGTCGAAGGAAGCTCTCCACCAGCAGGATTGGTGCAGAATTGGAAGGTAGGGCCCTGGCAGGGGCGGGGGGGGGGGGGGCAGTCGGCCTGTCAGTTTAGCTAATCAGGCCCTCTTGGGTTGGCTTCTGGCTATTTCAGTCTGGGAAGGTTTGCGAGTCCCCCGAAGTGTGGCTGCGTCTTGAGTAGCTTGACGGTCTGTCTACCCGCTCTGATTCATAACAGCACACGGTGCACATCCAATGGAAAGGCTCACATTCCCCGTTTATTCGCTGTTAGTTAACCAAGAGGCTCCCAGCAGCCCTGCAAACATAGCCATACCTTGGTAGTAAAGTCAGCTCCCTCCCCAGAATGGTGAGTGCAAAGACGCAGGGTGCTGCTTTCTGTTGTTTTTGTCTTGCTGTTCTTTGAGTTGCTGGAATATTGCTAAACTGGTCTCTCTCTCTCTCTCTCTCTCTCTCTCTCTCTCTCTCTCTGTCTCTCTCTCTCTCTGTCTCTCTCTCCTCCCTCTCTCTCTCCTCTCTGCCCCTCACCCTGGCTTCACCGTGGCTCTCTAAAAGGGCAGTTGGAACCACTGAACGAGGTGGGTTAATTCAATCATCTGTTTGGTCTGGATTCTAATCAAATGCTTGCCTTTCTGTTTGGAGTCTGGTGTGGGGCTGGGGCATGATTGAGTACTGAGTCACAGGGTATTAGCAAGGGTACAGTTCTTCTGCTCCTTCCGACCAAAAGGGAGACCCTGGCCAAAGGGACGTCCTGGACAGCATGTGTGTCCCAATTAAGTTGGACTCCCTCAGTTTAGTTGCATGTCCCTGGGGCTATTTTTCCTGAAGTATCTTTTTTTTTTTTTCTTTTGCCGGGAGAGAACCCTATGCATGCCTGTTTGAGAACATATTGCCTGGCCCTCTCCGTGTTGTAATAACCGCCCACCTGTCAAGAAAGGCACACACATAAACTACAAAGGCAAACACCTGCAAGTGTTTTGCTTGCTCCGAACGGCTGCAGTCACTTCTGTTTGCCATCCCGTGCCCACGGTGCATAAATAGGAGAGGGAAACAAAATCTTTTTTTCTCCTACCAGTAACTCTGCTCTGGGGTGGGGCACATCCCAGATGGGTTGCTTATAATCCGGGGTGTTGTCTCTCCTCTCCCTCTTCCTCACCCTCCTCCCTACCTCCTCTTTGCCCCAATGGCCTCAGGGATTTCTGTCTAGAATCTCTGATGTGCTGCTGTGCGGATGGACCTGCCGACATTGCTGTCAGAGGTGCCACGAGTCCAGCTGCTGCCAGTCCAGCGAAGATGAAGTGGAGATCTTGGGACCTTTCCCTGCCCAGACTCCTCCATGGCTGTGAGTAAAACCCACTTGGAAATTTACCTCCCAGCATCCTCTCCACTGCAAGCCGGGCAGAGGGTGGGGTGGGATAGGCTGAGTTACCATGGACATAGCCAAGAAGGGCTTCTCTGTGCTCCCTCAGTTGTGGGCCAGCTGGGAGCACCAGCTGGCGGTGAGGCGCCTGCTCAGCCATTCTCACACCAAGCATCTGAGATGCTAGCCGGGTGCTGCTAATCTCGGGGACACTCCAAGTAGCCTAAGTATCCAAGCAGAAAAAGACATGGGCTCTTTCTGAAGAACTTTCTTGAAGGCTACAGCCTCCAAAGGAGGACCAGTGTCGGAGTGTCCCCTTCCCAGACAGCATGACAGACTGTCCTAATGCCCAACCCCAGGCCTGCACCAAGTAGATGCCCAGTAAATCTTAGCTGCTAGCACTTTTCAGATGATGCCTTTTGGCGGACCTGAGCAAGGCCTGTATCCTTGGGGCCACAGGGAGGGGTGCCCAGCCCACCCTGCCTCCAATGCTGGTGGTGCTCACACTGGCATCTTCCGGCTTGTTTCTAATCCACTCCCCTCCTGCGCCCTCATAACCGTCTCCATCTGCCTGCCGGTCGCTCAGATATTTTGGGAAGGCAGTTTTGAAGCTTGGCCACATGTCTGATCCACCTCACCGTGGCAGGGAGAGGGATGTGGTCAGAGTCTGGGGAGAAGCTGGGAAAGACCTAGAAATAATTGACAACAGCTGTTGGGGACTCTGGGAGGGAGGCCCAGAAAGGAGATGGTGCCGGGGACCAACGGAATCCAGGGGTAGCACTTAGAACTGTCTCGACTGAATCTTGGGCTGAAATTCCTCTGGGTTGGCAATCCTGCCATGCATGCCCTTATTTTTTTTTTCTTCTTAGAAGCAAGGTTCAGATGTTTCCAGAACACAGTCATGTCAGCCTACATGAGTTCAAATCTAGTTTCGGCTACTGCTTTCTAGTCCTTTAACCCTGGGGAAGTTGCTTGGCTTCTCTGAGCCTCAGTTTCCCATCTGTAAAATGTGATGATAAAAGCCAGGTGGTGGCGCACACTTTTAATCCCAGCACTCAGGTGGCAGAGGCAGGCGGATCTCTGTGAGTTCAAGGCCAGCCTGGTCTACGGAGTGAATTCCAGGACAGCTAGAGCTACACAGAGAAACCCTGTCTTGGTAAGAAAACAAAAGGGGGGGTAGATGGTTAAAAAAAAAATAGTATTTACCAAATAGGTTTGTTGAAGTTGTGTTTAGAAAAGTACTTAAGAGTACTTGAGACTTTGTTGATGGTCAAAAGTGGGACATCTATTTACTTAGGCAGGGTCTCACTGTAGCTTTGACAGGCCTGGAATTCTCATTATAGACCAGGTTAACCTTTAACTCACAAAGGTCTGCCTGCCTCTGCCTCCTGGGTGCTAGGATTAAAGGCACAGGCCACCAAACCGTGCTTATTTTTATTTTTTAAGACAGGGTGGTAGCCTAGGCTGGCCTTGAACTTGCTACGTAGCCAAAGATGACCTTGAATTTATGATCCTTCTGCTTCTACCTCCTGAGGGCTGGGTTTACAGTCGTGGGCCACCTTACCTGGGCCTTTGCATGTTAGCCAAGCATTTCAACAACTGAGCTATGTCCCCAGCCCTGTGGGCGACATTTTTTGTTTGTTTGTTTGTTTTGAGACAGAGTTTCTCTGGCTGTCCTGGAACTTGTTCTGTAGACAAAGCTGGCCTTGTCTCACAGAGATTCACCTGCCTCCTGAGTGCTGGGATTAAAGGTGTGCGCTGCCACCACCTGGCAAAAACCCTGGTTTGGCTTTGATTTCCATATCTAGAGAATAAGAATAATAAAATAACGTATTTCATAGGACTGTAATTAAGATTAAGCAAAGAAGGCTAGCTATAGTAGTGCATGCTTTTAATCACAGGGCCGGGGAGGTAGAGGCAGGAAGATGTGAGTTCAAGACCAGCCTGAGCTACATAGTGAGACCCTGACTCAAAAATAAACAAGTGTAAATGAACTGCCTTCAGAATGTGTTTAGCTCAGGGGCGAGAGGTCTGTAAGTATTCTTTGTCATTATTCGGTGTCAAAAGGAACCCTTCACTCATTTCGAGAACATACTTTCCAGTAGGTGGTCACAGAGCTGAGATGGAAGAGACAGTCCCATTTCATAGGGTCCTTGTAGTGGAGTGGCTGAGATCATTTGGATCCTAAAAGCCACATGTCTTAGTCACTTAAAAGAAAAGCTGATGGCCAGGTACAAGGTCACACCTGTATTCCCAGTCCTAAAGAAGGAGGCAGGAGCAGCATGAGTCCCAGGCCAGCCTGGACTGCACGGTGAGGCTCTGTCTCAGAAACTCAAGGGCTAGGGATGGAACCCAGCGTTTGCTGCATGTGTGAGGCTCAAGGTTTGATTCTCAAACTGGAGTCAAAACAGAAGGGAAAATACACCCAAATATTCACGCACTGTGTGTGAGTGTGTATGTAGTTTCCAAAGTCTGTTGGTCACCTGACGGGCCTAGAGAAAGAAACTGAACCCTGAAAGTGCTCTCTTATCCAACCATCATCACAGACAAGTGGGGTTCAATGTCCTTGGCAGTCCAGCCTTGATCTTTGGTGGATATGAGGTGTGTGTGTGCACATGTGTACATTTTGTGGAGGCCATGACTCAATCCCAAGTCTTCGCCTTGCACCTCAAGACAAAACCCCTCGCTGTTCTTCACCGCATACATCAGGCTGACTGGCCTGTGACCTTCTGGGGACTTTTCTCTCTCTGCCTCTTATCTCACAGAAGGGGTGCCGGCTTTCATGAGGGTCTGAACTCAGGTCCTCAGCAGCATGTGACAAGGACCACCCACCCAACCACCTTCCCAGCCCAGTACTTATTTCTTTGAGTGCACATTGCATAGGGGACACATTGCATGAGCTTAGATGGGCTTTTATGAGTAGGGGACTTTTCCATTTTATCTAGGACATAAGGCAGGTGTGGGAGTCAGGTTGCCTCCTAGAACCGTACTTTCAAACCTAGCATATCATATGTGACAACCTAGCCTAGAGTCTCATGGACAATCCCAGGATGATGGCTTCAGGACTGGCTGGCTGGATCCAGGGGCTCACACGGGTTTTCTGATTTTCCCACTGAGTTGGCTTCATTCTTAAGCTCACTTACTCCTTGTGCTCGGTTTGACTCACGTTCTATCAGCTTCATAGAAAAGAGGTTCAAAGACAGGAAATGGCGTTGGCCCAGCCTTCGGCCTGTGCCAGTCACTTGTGCCCACTTTCAGGCAGGGAGAAGAGCTGCTGGGCTAGATTGCCATCCACCTGGAGCTAGGGCAAGGGCTGCTCCTGCATGAAGCACGTCCATTTCTGTGAAGAGCCAGAGGGAACTATTTTAGCCTCCAGGGCCTACGACCATGAGGCAACTAGTCACCCACCATAGTGTGTGACAACTACCACAGACAGAGAAGTGAGAGTCGTGGCTGGTAGGGAGTCGGGCAGTTGGCACAACCCTTTACCTCACAGACCCTTGGGACAGAAGCTTCCAATGTTCTAACTAGAGAGGAAGAAAGGAGCCTAGCTAAAGCGGAGACACCCCTGAAGGCCTGGGGTCATGGGGGAGGAGCCTCAAGTTCGGCTTATTCGGGGCTTCAAGTGCCAGTTTAAAGATTTGGATTCTTGTTCTCGTTCAGCAGCTGCCACCTCCTTCCCCCTTGCCAGCGTCAGTCAGGTGCAGGCTCCCCCCGTCCCCAGACACCCAGAGAGTCCCTGTTACAGGTACACAGCCTCACTGTAACTCTGAGTTGGGAGACAGTTTTGTTTAACATTGAATATTGGCTCTTGATGCAAAAAAGAAAGAAAGAAAGAAAGAAAAGAAAAAGAAAAAAAATACTGGCCCTTGATTCTTTTTGGAGCAAGAGGTTCATACTGTGTGCAGACAAAAACAGAGAAGTGGACTGTAATGTTCCTTCCAGGGCCAGCACACTTCAGAACTCCAAGCAGTACCGTTTATGTTATGGTGTTGCGCAGTGCACCATCCGGGCTGCCTCAGACCCTCCCGTAGCCCCTCATTTGTTTCTAGCCTCCGACTCAATGTAAGGCAGAACAGAAATCTGTAAGGGGGAAAAGCGCGTCCGATCATTCCGAAAGCCAATCTGCAGCTTGTGTTTGCTCCAGATTTATTTACCAAGTGGGCAGTGGCATGTTATCAAACAGACAGGAAGTAGAAATGTCAAGTGCTCGGGCTGTGCAGAGCCGTTCCTACCGTGACATCTGGGGCTTGTCTCCATACAGTGACGTGGTGGGGGAAGCGGCCATTGTGTGTTCTGTGTGAGATCTCTGGAGACACGGCACTCATTGTGGGTATTAGTGTCATCCAGACAGGTGAGATCTCGGTGACTGCGGTCTACACGGCTCTGTTGGAGCAGTGCCAAAAGGATTCTTATGGAAGAGTGACTGGAAGCCCGGCTGTTTGTCTGTCCATCAATTCTATATGGTGTACCTGCTTTATGTGTGACACTCATGGGTTGCAGAGGGCATGCCCAGATGTGGCAGGGAGTGTGTGTGTCTGGACCGGAGCATAGCTGGGATCCCCTGGGGTACCACGGTTTATCAATGGGCAAATCAGCTCCCATCGCAAGCTTGCACTTCCCAACAGTAAAGGAATGAGGAGGTCCATAGCAGCTGGCTACAGGATTGCTCGGAGAATGGCCTAAGATAGTGTTCCCACTCTCCACTCCCTGCTCTCTTTGGTCAGTGAGCTCAGGAATGCCGTGACGACACTCAGTGTGCACCCAAGTTCATTCTGGGGTATAAAAGACAAGCCAGTGGATCAGTCCTGAAGACGAGCGTGTGGCCCTAAAGAGAAAAAAAGCTATAGAGGGAAGGATGGGAGAGATCACAGGGACAGGATCACGGTCCTTGGAGGAAGGGCCACTGAAGCAAAAACTGGAATGGGTAAAAGAACAAACAACTGGGCAAGAAAAGCCTGGAGGAGCAACTTAGGCCGAGGGGACAGGGAGGCCCAGGGTATCAGAGAGGACAGGGAGGTGAGGCAGCCCTGTACTCAGACACTTGCGTTTGCGTGGCTCCAGAGGGTGGTGACATTTAAGCTGACCACTGAAGGTGGGTGGGTCTCATGGGAGGAGGTGGCTGTCACAGTGAAGCTTGGCGGCTGGGAAACAGGGCTATGGGCAGGCAGGAGTCTAGGAACCACGGCCTTTCCACCCAGAAGTTGTAACTCTGCTTTAAGAGAGTGTTTGCCCCCGGTCGATCCTGTCCCCTGTCCCCACGCACCTGCCCACACGTTTCATCTGTGTCCACACACAGCCAGCAGGTGTCCACTCCCCCTGTCTGGCCTGTCTTGCCCTGGCCGTTGCCTTCATCCCTTTGTGGTGAAGTCAGCCTCATCTCACCCATCAGGTGCCTCAGAAGACCCTCTAGAATTCAAAGCTTGCATTTTTTGTTGTTTTTGTTGTTTCAAGACATGTTTGTTTCCTTGTAGGCTTAAATGTTAAGTTGATGGGATGTGACCATTATGGCTCATGGTGCACTGTGTTCAATATTCCCCTAAGCGCGGTATGGCTGGCACCTACACCTCTTTGCAGGCTCCCCACCCTGTCTTTCCCTACCCCAGCACCCATGCCCAGCTTGAATAATGGTGATGTTTACTTGTTTGAGACAAGGTCTTTCTTGGCAGCCTGACCTCAAACCCAGGATTATTTGCCTCAGCCTTCTGAGTGCTGGAATTACAGGTGCACACCAGACCCAGCTTGGGGGGGGGGGATCTTAGAGCCACCCCTTGTAATACCAGCTAAAACACCAAGTACCCAACTATGTCACTACTGTAGCAATTGGTCTTGTTGACTTGTTCTGAGAATTTAGCAGCCAGACGAGGTGGTCTTGTGGTTATTCCCATTTCACAGAAGGGGAAATGGAGGAACAGAGAGGGGAAGGGAATCGCCCAGGGTCACCTAGCTAGGGTTCCAACTGAAAGTATCTGCTGCCTCTCCATCCGTCTACCTGCCTACCTATTATCTATCATACCACCCGTCATCTCTCATCTCCTTCGCCATCTGTCCCCGAGGCTTGCCCATGCCTCCCCCAGTTTCTTAGCATTTCCCGGCTTCATTAGCATCCTGTTGAGTCATCGCTGCTGCTAATCCATAACTGCTTCCCCACCTCCAACTTCTGTTCTCAAGTCATCGATTCACAGGACCACTGCACCTGTCACTCCACCCTTGAGTAGCAATGCGATGACATATTTTTTTTTATATACTTTTTGTTATTGTGGTTTTTGCTTTTTTGACACGGGGTTTCTCTGTAGCTTTGAAGCCTGTCCTGGAACTAGCTGTTGTAGACCTGGCTGGCCTCGAACTCACAGAGATCCACCTGCCTCTGCCTCCCCGGTGCTGGGATTAAGGGCTTGAGCCACCATTGCTTGGCTGCAAGAGCTTATTTAAAGGATGTTAAATCAGAAGTGTGGAGACTATTGAAACAGAAGGGCACAATGCCCCAAGAGCCACTTTCACAAGTTCAGATGAATCTAAACAACCACATGGTTCCTTCCAGACCCAAGATTGACAGGTCTCCAGCTTCATTCTGCCTCAGTGGCGCCCCCATGTGGCAACAGTGTAGGTTTGCTTGCCCTCCAACTTGAAGCTGTTCTAAATCAGGGATGACACCTTTGAATTATTTCAGTTTATGTGAAAAGCAAGACTATATTTCCATCATTCTCAGTGATGTAGTGTGGGTCAGAGGCTGCATCATCACCATGCACGCTCTGAGACAGGAGTTCCTTTGTTCAGTCTTTGAGCGCTTGCTCGCGCTCTGGGAAAGGTGCCTGTAGCAGCTGAACTGTGGACGAGCAGGTGGAGACCCTTGTGGGACTCTGGTGGGGGTTGCCTCAGCAGCCACTAAAACCTTTTTCTTGCTCTAGGATAGCCAGTCGGAGCAATGACAAGGATGGCGACTCCGTCCACACAGCCAGTGATGTCCCGTTGACCCCAAGGACCAACTCCCCTGATGGGAGACGCTCGTCCTCAGACACATCCAAGTCCACCTACAGCTTGACTCGGAGAATCTCCAGTAAGTGCCTGGAGATGGTTAAGGTTGGGCAGGGCGGGGGGGTGGGGGCGGCATTCTCTTAGTATAGGGGAAAGAGCTAGTTGAGCATGGTGGCTTGTGCCAGAAATCCCAGCACTCGGGAGTCGGAGACAAGGGGATCCAGGACAGCCTGGAGTAGAGTGAGTTCCACGCCAGCCTGAGCTATAGAGTTAAGATCCTGTCTCAAAACAACAGCAGTGTTTACACTTAGGGTCATGGAGGCAGGGTGACAAATGCAAGGGCTCGAGACGGGAAGACCAAGGGGCTCTTGCACCCGCAGACCTCATGATCTCCCTCTGTTCGTAGGCTAGCCAGGCTTTCACCCAGACACACTGGCCCTGGGATCACCCTCCCAAAGTGGGGCAGTGCTACACCTCAGCTGGGGAGAGCCCTTTCCCTCCTGCTTCTCACTCTCGCAAGTGCAGGGCTCTGGAGAGCGCTCACCGCTCGTGAAAAGTGGCCGACTCAGGGCATGGCAGGCATTTAGAGCACCACCTGGCACCGAGCTGCTCTGATGATTGTTGTGGGATGCTCCAGGCCACCACTGGGCAACCACCTCTCACAATAAATAAGATCACAGTTATCTCTCCGTATGCACACATTCTGCACCCTCAGATTCACCCAGTCCCAGCCCTTAGAGCCCAAGGTAGAAGAATTGCAAATTCAAGGCCAGCCCAAGCTACAAAGTGAATTCCAGGCCATTGGGGACTACTTAGCAAGAGCCTGTCTCAACGATCCAAGAGAAAAGATTGTGTGTGTTTATGTGTGTGTGTGTGTGTGTGTGTGTGTGTGTGTGTGTGTATGTGTGAGTTGTGTGTCTATACTTAACACAGACTTTCTTTTCATGCCTTTTATTTCCTAAACAATATGGCATAATAGCCAAGCTTGGTAGTGCAGGCCTATGATGCTAGCTGCTCAAGAGGCTGAGGCAGGGGGACTACTAGTCTGTGGAACTTGGTGATACCCTGTCTCAAAGTAAAAAGGAAAGAGGCCCAGGCCTACAGCTCAGGGGTAGAGCCACTGATGCGTGAAGCCCTGGACTGAATCCACCACACTGCAGGAAAGGAAGACCATAGGAAGTTCCATTTCATGGCATTTGGATTGTACTCAGCAATCTAGCCTATTTGGAGACGGTGCAGGGGTATCCAGCCTTTTGGCACTGAGATATAATATCATCTACAAGTGTATCGAGCTGCATTCATAGCTAACCTGGGGTACATGTTGTCTGTGGGCTTTATGTTGGACATGCTTGAACATATATGAATGACTGTGCATAGGTTATATATTGTTATTTTACATTTATTTATTTATTTGTGTGTGTGTGTGTGTGTGTGTGTGTGTGTGTGTGTGTGAACGTGCATACCATGGTGCATATGCGGAGGTCAGAGGACAACTTTTGGAAGTTGGTTCTCTCTTTCTACCATGTGGGATTGAACCTCAGGTCCCCAGGCTCCATGGCAAATGCCTTTACGTGGCGAACCATTTTGCCAGCCGCTGTGTCGTTTCAAGTTAGGCCTTTGAGCATCTGAGGGCTTGGGTATATCAGGGGTCCTGAAACGGATTCCAAAGCTCATGGAACGCCTGCATTTCCAGTGTGCACAGAAGAGCCCACTGAAGCAGAGAAGCCCGCGTGGGCATCTGGGGACCTTTGCTGATGTCACTGGGTGGCCAATGGTGGTGATCATTGTTCTTGGTGGCTGTTTAGGTCTGGATTCCCGGCGCCCTAGCTCCCCACTCATTGACATCAAACCTATTGAGTTCGGGGTTCTCAGTGCCAAGAAGGAGCCTATCCAGCCATCGGTGCTGCGCCGGGCCTACACCCCTGATGACTACTTCAGGAAGTTTGAGCCCCGACTTTACTCCCTTGATTCAAACCTTGATGATGTGGACTCTCTGACTGATGAGGAGATCATGTCCAAGTACCAGCTGGGCATGCTGCACTTCAGCACACAGTACGACCTGCTGCACAACCACCTCACGGTGAGGGTGATCGAGGCCCGGGACCTGCCGCCCCCCATCTCCCACGATGGCTCTCGCCAGGACATGGCCCATTCCAACCCCTATGTCAAGATCTGTCTCCTGCCCGACCAGAAGAACTCCAAGCAGACAGGCGTCAAGCGCAAGACACAGAAGCCTGTGTTTGAGGAACGCTACACCTTCGAGATCCCTTTCCTAGAAGCCCAGAGGAGGACCCTGCTGCTCACTGTTGTGGACTTTGACAAATTCTCCCGCCACTGTGTGATTGGCAAAGTGGCGGTGCCCTTGTGTGAGGTGGACTTGGTGAAGGGCGGCCACTGGTGGAAGGCTTTGATCCCCAGCTCTCAGGTAAGGCTTGAGTTTTGCTGCGTCACCTCCTGGGAATTCTTCTTCTTAAGATTGTTATTTTAACTTATTTTCCTATTTAATTTTTTTATTTTGAAACTGGGTATGGTGATACATTCCCATAATCCCAGCACTTGAGATGTGCAATGAGGATCAGAAGCTCAAGGTTACCCTTGGCTGTAATGAATTTGAGGATAGCCTGGACTATTTGAGATCTTGTGCCAAAAAGCCAAAGCCAAAAAACTTATTTTGTATTTAAGTTGTTTTTATTTTGAAATGATTATACTCACATGAAGTTTCAAATACAGCATAGAGTTCCAATTGTTCTCTTCTCCGTTGTCCCCAGAACAGTGTCTTACAGCCCAGAGAATGTAGAATAAACCACCAAACACCATAAACTAGAGTAGACCAAGTTCAGGTTCCAATGGTTTTTTATATGTGTCCCCCACTATGTGTGTGCATGTGTGAGTGTATATGTGTGTGTATGCATGCATAGGCATGCATGTGTGAATGTGGGGGCAGCATGGGCATGCAAGGGCATGGACATACATGTGCATGAATTATACATGTGTGAGCGTGCATATACATGTATGTATGAGTGTGTTTATGTGGAGGGCATGCATATACATGTGTGAGTATGTGTGTGTATTCAAGGGACGGCACTATGAGTATGTGTGTGTGAGAGAGAATATGTGTGTACATGTATGAGTGTGTACATGGGCATGCATGTGTGAGTGTATGTGTGTGCATATACATTCATGGATAAGTATGTATGTTTATACATAGGCATGCATATAGACGTCTGTGTGTGTGAGAGAGAATGTGTGTGAGTGCACATGAATGTGCATATATATGTGTGTATGGACATGCATGTGTAAGTGTGTATGCATATGCATGTGTGTGAGTGTGTGTGTGTGCATGGGCATGCATGTGTATGTGTGTGTGTGAGAGAGAGTGTATATGTGTGCATGTGAAATTCTATGAAATCTTTTCACTCTTTGATTTATTATGGGGATGTATGTGTGTGGAATGTGTAAGATGTATGAATGTGCATTTATGTGTGGAGACCAGGAGAGGTGTCATGTGTCCTTCTCTATCACTCTCTGCCTTTTTTTTTTTTTTTTTTTTTGAATCAGGGGCTTTCACGGAACCTAGAATAGACTGGTGGCCAACAAGTCCCAGTGATCCTCCTGTCTCTGTCCCCACAGCACAGGGGTTACAAGTATGCATATCTATGCCTGGGTTTTTAATAGGTTCTGGGGTCAAAACTCAGACCCTCATGCTTATGAAGCAAGGACTCCTGAGGCATCCCTTCAGCCCCAGTTCTGTAAAATCTTACCATATATACAGAATCGTGGCCCCACCACCCTAGAGATGCTTTGCCACCAATGCTGAACAGCTTCATCAGGAGAGTGATTATCCAGAGTATAAAGATATCAATCATTTTGACTTTCAGAAAGTGATTTGGAATTTAAAAAAAATAAACAGAAACAAAAATAGGGGCAATAGAACCCATGATGCATGGATTTTTCTCAGGCCCACTGTGGTGACCAACTTCCTGCCTCATGTCCAACCTGAGGGGGATGTGATTAGCTGCTGGGGACCCCATTCTGAGGCCACAGGCTGAGCTGGGACTCCAAGAAGGCTGTTAAGTACTCTCGAGTGTACCCTCTGGGACACAGAGAGCTGGACAGCCAGGGAAGGGGAAGGCCCAGGCAGGAAGAGACATACCTCACACTGCACAAGTGAGGATGGCTCAGCCCAAGGAGATACAGGCAGAGCAGTTGTAAATTGACAAGCTGGGGCATCTCAAAGCTGTGCAGTCTTGATCAAGAATCCAGTGACCCAGGGCTGCCTTTGGGAGCAGGCTGGTTGGTTTATGGTGAGTTATGTGCTGGGGATTAAAGTCAGAGCGTTGTGCATGCTGAGTGTACCCTCTTCCAAACTACATCATATCCCAGTGGTACACAGGTTTCCAGCATGGGGACAAGACTGTCCTGTTGTGTATGTGTTTGTCTTCCAAGATGAAGCTCTACCCCTTTCGTCTTATGAATTCCCCATGAAGAAGGTCCTGAGACAAGGCTGGTCCTATACCAGGGAACACCAGGAGGGATTTGGGAAGTCCGGAAGGGTGTGTGATGGACAGGTCAACACAGTAGGTGTTGTCCAGTTCTTAAACCTGCAAGGCACACACAGGAGCCCAGTGTTGTTCATCCCCAGGACTTTTGAGTGAAGGCTACTGGGACCTGGGAGCTTAATTCCCTGGCAATTTTGTCCTGTGGTCCTAGCAGGCAAGAAGCCTCTGACACCCATGATGGTGCCCAGGTGGCATCTGGACACAGGCCCTCATGCTGAATGAAGCAAAGAAGAGAAGAAAACAGGCCAGGTACCTAGACTGTTGCCATCCCAGCTTCATCCAAAGACCCTTCCCCTGGGCATGTCTTCCCTCTTGCATTGCCAGCAGGTTGGGTACTTCTTGTGCCTTCTACAACAGTTGACAACACTCAGCGTTCAAAGAATTTGAACCCAGATGCAGAGGGCTTTACTCTTAGCCTTTCTTCCTCAAGCGTGCCTTCTCGCAGTCTCCCTGCTTCAGCCTTCTTCTGAGTGCTAAGATTGCAGGCATGCATCGTCATACCTGCCTACGATTATCTTTAATTTTGGGGGGGACTGGCTGGGGCGGTAGCTCAGCGTATAATGTGCTTCTTGTGCGAGCATCAGGAGCCACATTCAGGGCTTATTTAAAAACCCAGGTTCAAGGCAGGTATCGGTGATGCCAGGTGTTGCGGGGCAGGGCCAGGAGGATCCCTGGAGCTCGCTAGTCAGCCAGTCTAGCTGGATTGGTGAGTGCTAGTTCCGTGAGCCCTTGCCTCAAAAAATAAGGTGGAGGATTATTGAGGAAGATACTGGATATTGATATTTGACCCCCTACCTGCACTTGCACACAATGCATACATGCACACACAGAGGAACACATACACATATACGACTCTATACCACACACACACACACACACACACACACACACACACACAGAGAGGACTGTTTGGGGCTCACAGGAAAATCAAGAGGGAGATTTATAGGTTTCCCATCATTCCTCTTCACCCCTAGCCACACAGTCTCCCCATTACCGCACCACTTGCCACAGCAGTGTGTTTGGTACCAGAGACAAATCCATGTTAACACATCATTATTGCAGTTTGGGGTACACTGTTAAGGCGCACATCCTATAGATCTGGGCAAATGTCTGGTGACATATGTCCACTGTGATAGCAGCAGATAGAGTGGTGTCACCGGGGCTTGTTTTCAAGGCAAAAATAATTTGAGATGCTCGGCGTTCTGTGCTGATTGGACCCAGTACCTGGAAACTGCCTGGAGTTACAGACGCCCCCAGCCTGCCTTCTGGATGGCTAAAAACAGCCTGGTAAACAGAGACTCCTAACTGCCTTCTGTATTTTGAGATTCCTCACCAACTGCTACTGTCACCGTCCAGCCCTCAACCAGGCAAATGGCAATGTTTTCAACTTGCCCCGAGTTGCTATCAGCCGTGACCTTTAGAACCATGGCTTCTGTGTGTGTTAAAACCGTTTCGGGCTCAGCTTCTGATCGGCAGCCCCATAATGCTGTTGGGGACCAGATCAGAGCTCGACAGAGCAATGGGACCTAGAAGTTTCCGTGCGCCCCTCCTCCCTCGGTAAAAATCAAATTTCACACTTGAGAGCTTATTAAAACTTCTAATTACATTCTTTATTTACTTAGTGTGTATATACTGTGGCGTGCTTGTGGAGGTCAGAGGACGACTCGTGGGAATTGTGTGGGGTCCCGGATGCCAACTAAAGCCCTGAGCCTCCTCAGCAAGCACCTTTACCTGAGGTTCCAGTTTGCCTTCTGTTGTGACAAACGCCATGACCAAAGCCCACTTGGGCAGGCAAGGGTTTATTTGACTTGTACATAGGATGCAGTCCATTGAGAGGGGCCAAGGCAGGAACCTGGAGGCAGGCACAGAAGCAGAAGCCATGGAGGAGTGTTGCTTACTACGGATTGTCCAGACTGTCCTTTTTTAAATTTTTATTATTTTAATTTTTTCGTTTTTAGAGACAAGGTTTTCTCTAAAACCCTGTTTTATATTTGGCTGTTCTAGAACTCACTCTGTAGACCAGGCTAGCCTCAAACTCACAGGGATCCACCTGTCTCTACCTCCTGAGTGCTGGGATTAAAGGCACGCACCCCCCGCACCACCACCACGTCCTTAGCCTGCTTTCTTATACAAGTCAGGACCTTCTGCCCAGGCATAGCACCATCCACAGCGGGCTGGGCCTTCCTCTATCAATTAACAATCAAGAAAATGCCCCACAGACCTGCCTGATCTGATGGCGATCTGATGGGGACATTTCCCAATCAAGGTTACTCGTCCTTGAGTTACTCAACTGAGTTACTCTTGATGCAACTCTAACTTGTGTTCAAAGTTGACAAAAACCCAGCCAGGACACCTGCGGAGTCACCTCACTGACCTCAGCATGAGCTTTGACGCCTAGTTATAGCATGTAAGAGAGGAGGAGCCAGGGACCAAGTGCGTGAACCTCCCTAGTGCGTGAACCTCCCTAGTGCGTAAGCGAGAAGACTGCACCACAGAAAGTTCGAATGACCGGTCTAAGGCCTCTCGGATTTTCATGGCAGAACGGAGACTACAGTTAGGTTGCCTGACTCCCATGCATGTCTTGCTACTAGGCAAATCTTCTTTACACCTCCAGATGATACGGTCTAGTGATGGGGAAAAGCATGGGCCCTGTACTCACACAGGCCTGGGTTCAAGTTCCAGCTCTGCCACCTAGTAGAGGTGCTCAGGAGGGTTACGCGGTCACTCAGCCTCTATTTCAGTCTCCTCAGGAGCATCCGCTGTGAGCTGCTTGACTCACCATGCTGCCACCAAATGTGGACGTTTGCCCTCAAACAACCGTGTCTCCGTTTCTCTGAACACCAGCTGTCCTGTTTTGATCCAATTC